TCTCCCTGACACAGGAAGCCATTTACAGACATTACCTCATCCTTTCATCCTCACATCAAATTGCAAGGCAGGTAGGTAGCAGGTGTCCTCAGCTTACCTCCACTGTCCAAGTCTAAGAGGAGGCCACCACTCTGCAAACACTCCCCGACACCCACATAGACTGAGTAATGGTATTTCTGGCTTGCTATGTAACCAAGCACTAACACACAAGGTAGAACTACCCTCTATCCTAGTTAATCAGGAAAAGAAATCTGGTTTATAATGGTTCACTGTAAACCCTATTCTATGCAGGTGCCTCATCTCACTTGGGTAGCAACCCCAGCAACTAAAAGGACCCAACATGGTGCCTACACCACCATCTACAGCTTACAAATCTTGTAGGAAATCTGAAAGTTGCTTGTCATGCGAGGATGAAATGTAGAGAATAAATAACAAGCCTCCACAAATTGCCACCCTTTTCTTCTTGTAGAATATCAATCCCTACCTTCCACCATTGACTTCTAGTTCTAACAAGACTTTCACTTTTGGAATATGTTGTAAACCCAATAAATATATTAACATTAAGAAACTTTATTTATTCAGGCTTTGAGTTCATGGGGATGGAGGGTTAGAAGGTAAGAAATGTCCAGCCACCTGTCAGTCTAAGAAAACATAACCCAGTCTCCTTTCCCCCATTTCTGTAACTGGTGAAATGTCTTCTCAGTTGCTGTCAAGTTGACTCTATGGGTGAACTCCAACGTTTGTCAGAGAAGATCCATGTTCCATAGTTTTCAGTGGCTGATAGTTTGGAAAAGTATCTCCAGGTCTTCCTTCCAGGCATTTGAATGGAATTGAACCTCCAACCTTTTGGTTAGCAGCTGAGTTCATTGACCACTTGCAATGCCTAAGGATTTCCTCTCAGTATGGGGCCTCTCCTAAAAGCTTCTTCCTCTCACAGCTGTACTGTCAAAACCAAGACACCATTGCTGACATTCATCAATCATACCCAAGCCCTACGTCTCTCCTTAACTTGTAGAGTCAATCCACTCATGGTTTCCTCTAGTCAGAAAATCCAAGGACCTTCTTCCCCATTTCACATCTGGTTTCCTGTTACATTGATAATCACCCCCGCAGGACTACCTGCTTCCCCCCTCCTTTCTTTATCCCAGCATACTCCCCGCTCCCTTCCCGTTCCATCTGAAATTTTGCATATTTTCCATTACTTGTTCTTGAGATCTAAAAATGAAAAAACAAAAACAAAAAACAAAACCAACACTGAGCCCCTGAACATAAGTTTATCACCAGATTAATCACTCAAAACCAAAATTATAATAAGGAACCCTTCCATGATTACACTTATTTCAGAGGCCACCGCATAGCTCAGTTGCAGGCTTGTGGTCCTTTAATGAGGTTGTTAGATGATAGGAAGTTCAATGTGTAGGTGATGGTGTCTCCTCCAAAAACTACCACTTAGGACACAGTGGACTGCCCCTCCACCTACCTAACCACATCACCAGTCTTGTTTAACTAGTATAACCATTGTTAGACAAGGACAGGTCATTTCAACACGGAGAAACAATAGCCAAGGCAAAGTCCTTTGGTGTGGCTGGTTCACGGGTCAAGAATCAATCCTAGGTACACATGCTGAGTCTACTGTCATCTCTCTGGTCACAGCAGGGACCTAGATAATGTCTGAGAAAGGATGCCTCCCATCACTCAGTGAAATACCAAACTTCCCATGAGTGTGGTCAGGACAATCTTGGTGTTGTTTCTTTTGTTAATGTACCAAGTAATGTAAAAATGGGAACTGATCTCAAGAAATGACACACGTACACAGTTGTCCTATGGAAGGAGCCAGCCGGTTGGTGTGCTGACTGCAGGAGTGAGGCATTTTCCACATTCGGAGTAGATAAACCGGCCTATGCATGAGGGGCCTGAGAATAGGATTTTCATCTGTTCTGTACTCTGGCTTCTGAGAACCATGGCTTTGAAGTAAGGGTTCCATTGCTGGATGGGGGTGGGGTACAGTGGGGGTGAAAGACCAACCTTCTAGTGTCTAAATAGGCAAATGTTGTTATTAAGTGCAGTCGAGTTGGTTCTGACTCATAGTGACCCTGTGTAAGGTTTCTGAGGAGCAGTTTGGTGGGTTGGAACCGCCGACCTAGCAGTTCAAACTAGTTCAAACTGACCTTGCAGTCTTGTGCTACTCCACCATCCATTCACTTGTCTGAGAGCATGGTTTGAAGTAAGGTGAAGCTGGGTTTCATCTAGTTTTGAAAATACTTTTTAAAAGATGCCAGTCCCAGCTCATTCCTCAGGCATATTCAAAAAGGGTAAACATACAAACCTGTAATCCGTGCTCATTGAAAGCGGGATTTAGTCCCCCGTCCTGCAACAAGGTGTGTGAAGTAAAGAGTTCACCTGGCTTCTTCCCCGTACCAACCCAAGTGTCAGTTCTATATTCTCCCAGTCCGATCCTCCAAACTGGCCTTAGGGGGTTTTTTACCTTTAACACAGTTTGTTCTGACATGAGATTTAATAAGCCTAGTAATTACTACACTGGATGTAGACATCTGGAATGTAGACATTCTAAAAATGAAGTCATCAGGGTTAGCCGTTGTGGGGGATTTACTTGTTCTTCATCTCTCAGGGGGCTGAGGCTTGGTCCCAGTGGGATTGTTCCCCTTTCCACCAAAGGAAATACTGTATTTCAAATAAATGGTGACATTGTAGCTGACATTAAAATACAAAACAAAAAACCTTAATAGAGAGCTTATTCTACATAATCAGAATAAACACACCAAATAATTTTAAACATAATTTATGTACATTTATGGCTTTATACAATCATAGCAAAGATTGTTCTTGTGTCTGTAAGTACATCATCATTATCAGGCACTTCTCAGAGTATCGAAACAGGAACATTAAATCCGGGCTGCTACCAGCGAGTAGCAAAATGGGAGAAGGGGGACTAGGCCCTGCCTGGACTTCCACGCCTGTCCCAGGCAACACTGCCAGGCTGAGCAAGCAACCCTTAGAAGGGAGGCCAATCAGATTCCCAGTTGTTGCACAAAAAGCCACATTGCATGTTTTACTTAATTACTCCCAAACTAAAATCACAAGAGTCTTATGTAAAATCAGTTATAAATTAAGAGCTCTTAAGAACTGAATAAACGAATTTCACATAAGTTGGGGAAAGTACTGGTAACATTTCTAGAGGTGAACAATTTTGTATCTTTCTTTGGAGATCTATTTTCATTTTAAGTGTCCTTATCTTCTCTAAGGATGTTCCATTGATTTCCTGCTTACTGGGATACAACATTTGCTAAGTAATTTAGACCTGTCAGTCAAAGAGAACTTTCCAAGTAATGCATCTATTACCTAAATATATTCCATACATCTATATTACGGAACAATACATCTTTATATTTAAAATATCTGAATAGTTCTATAATACAATATGCTTTTAATAACAGTACAAACCAGAGGAAATATATCAAACAAGGCTGCATAGGTGAAAACATCTGCACGTTTCACAAAGCAATCATTTACAACAACTGATACTCTATGCCAAAAGTCAATATTCTTACGGAAAATAATTATCAGAGGTCACATAATGTTTGCTTTCAAAATAGACAAGACATCTTTCATGGGACTTCACTGTATCCCACAGAGAGCTACCTGGGAGTCAGTTAGCATGTCAACACCAGGAAAAATGCTGGTGGAGATTTAAAGTAAAAAATATTGTATTGCCCAAGAATGATGTTATAAATATTTCCAGAAAAAAAAAAAAAAAAAAGATATTACACAGACTCAAGAGAAAGCAAGCTCATTTGAGAAGTTGTTCCACAAAGTCATAAAGCTGGCGATTCCGGCTGCAGTGCCTGAAATGACTGAATGAATGGGGGGGCTCTGGGCTTACTGTGTGATGGTGAGGTAATGGTGAGGGGGCAGGAGAAGCGGCAGTGGGTGCTGACAGAAATGAGAATACAAGTACTTTGGCACCAACAATTCTACTGTATAAGCAGGAGGCTGCTGAGAGGAATCAAGGCTTCTAAACCAGTCTTATTTTGGAGTGGCCAACAACAAAGGTAGTCAGAGGTGGCTTTTTGATGAATTTTTTAAATCACAGAAGTCATAGAGGAAAGCTTACAATATAGCTGGCCTTTCGTAGAAAGTTTATGAAGAACACTTGTGTTCTTGTCAAACATGTAAGAGAAATCAAGCCAACAAAGAGGCAATTAACATGCCAGAGAAAGCCAAGGGTGACCTGAGCCAAGTACACAAGGTCAGAACCTTCTTGAGGCCGGAGATGTTGCTGGGTGGCTGACTCTTTCATCATGCTGACTTCATGCCACACGATTTGAAACTATGGATAGATTAAATGGTTTTGCAAAGCCAATTAACTTTGTCGGTTACAGGTAACTGGAAAGTATTAAAATATAATAATCTGAATTATAATTTGGGATGTTAAAGGAATAATAAAGTTTCAAATTCTTAACATAAGCTAAGGTATTTAAAATAAATTCAAAATGTATAAATTACAGCTGCTTCACTCATTTTTGAATTAACTGCTCCAATTTTTAAACAAGGTCTAGTCTATTTGTTGTTGTTAAGCCATCTGGACTTAGGAATACAAAACATTCTACAAATTCCACTTTAAAATTTTCTCCTTCTACCTAAAACTTCCCAAGCAGGCTAAGTAACCTGTAGGACACAGAGAGAGATGATGGCGAGTGTCAACATAGCTCTTCAAGGCAGAGCTACAATACCAACCTCCATCTAGACCCAAGTAAGAGGAGAAAATCAGGTATCATGAGGGAAAACTTGCCAAGGCTCAACTCAAAGGTCAAGTTTATCAAACCCATAATTTGGGCAAAAGCACTGTTAGAGATGTAGGTCTCCCATCAGATCCACAAACATTATGAGGCCTCCCAGGAATAACGGGAACAACACGGCACATAGCATCCACCAGAGTACTCAGCACTAGGCCATGTGCAGAGCTAACAAAGTCAGTTATCGAAGCCGATGAAGTCTTATTCACATGTAAAACCACAGAAAGCTCTCCTACACGGGAACATAGTGTCCATAGGTTTACATCACTTTCTTGCCAAAGAAAGGGCCAAGAAACATTGAATATGCAAATACTAAATACATTTTTAAGATTATTCAGAAACATCACCAAGTAGCATCCCAAAGTATACAAACCAGTTAAACATGTATAAAATTAGTAACGAATCCAGTTAGAATTACAAAATGGAAATTATGAATGCGTCTCCAAATATCTGTGATTCCACAAATTTACAAGCAGACTATATTATATGTAACAAAGTAGACTCTAGTTTTAAGTCAGTATAGTTCAATATCAATTTCAAAAATGATCTCTCAAGTCCCAACAGTAACATCAAAAATCAGTCATCGGGAGACTAGAACCATTTAAATGTTTGTACAAATTTGCAAATAACAAAACAAACAAACAAGAAATAGAAAAAACCTGTACAAGGCTGGCATGTAATCTTTCCCCCTCCCCCCATCCCCAGAAAGAGTTAGACTAGTCCAGTATCTCAGCAGATTGATTAACAGGCTACTTGTTTTCCATTTAAAAGTATGTGGCAGTATGAACAGATCCAAAGCTGTTCACGGGAAGTGGCAGACTGGAGATCTTAGTTCTCTGTGATTCGTCTGTTCAGCAGAACACAGGTAGTACACACAAAAATTTAACTTATCAAGGGCATGAGACCATCACAGTATACAAAAAGAGTATAAACTTTCCTTGGACCAAATAAATGGATATTAAAAAAAAACAACAAAGAAACAAAAGCATACACAAATACAACTCTGTATCTACTGCTTATATACAAAATTGAGAGGACACCAGAATTCGAAAGTCTGTTCTGCAATGATATGGTGTAGTGAGTTTGGCACTTCATCATAATGAAATTTCCAATGGCACAGTCCTTATCTACAGCAGCACATAATCTGCAAACATTGGGCAAACATCCTGAACAGGAAAAGTGTCTTCATTGCCAAGTCTGATGAGAGGAGGGGAAAAAAAAAAGGAACACTTTTTTGTGTTTTTTTTTTTAATCAAGAAAACTAAAAGGAGGGGTGAAGGACATCTTTGGACTGCTTCTCTCAGTTCCTGCTGTCAGACAATCTGAAGTACTTTTAAGAGTAGCCTGGAGGGAAAAAAAACATATACACACACAATGAAAATAGAGCCAAATTAAAAATCAATTCGACTTAACATATTATAGTGATAGACACACTTATAAAGAAACATTAGGGCATTCTCAAAGCCCTGAAATCACTGAATGGGGAAAATTCCACTTTAAAAAACAATACAAAACAAAACAAAAAAACCCTTCAGGATTTGATTTGTATCAAATGCATTCATTTATTGAAGAGCTACTAAAGAGATGCAGCCATCCAACTGTCAAAAGAAAATCTGTATAGCAGTTACAAGAAGCTTCCTTATGTCTTAACTCAAAAGAAAAATGTGCAAGTTGCAGAAAGGGTGGGGATTGAATAATAAAAGATGCCTCTCTGCTAGGGGACATCAAAAAAGTTCTAACCATTAAAGACACAGTCACTGTGCGCCACTCTTTTAAGTACTATTTTCAGAAAGTCTTTTCATATTGGGGAGGACTTACCTGCTTGCTAAGTAACTCTTAGCCTGAGACCCAGCTATGAGTTGTCGTCTTGACACTGTGTGGGAAACTTTGGTTGGGCAACACATTGTCAAAGTTAAAATCCAAAGTATCTCCATCCATGAGGTCATTCCGGATGATGGACTCCATGTCACAGTCCAAGCGCTCAATAAACATGCCATCCAAGTCACTGGGGAGCTTCTCCTGGTGGAGAATGCCCATTCTGCCATAGCCGTGGCAGTTGCTCACTGAGGAATAGCCTCCTAGGGTGCTCATCTGCATGGGGTGAGGCAGAGGCACTTGCAATGGTGTCTTTCCTGGGGTCAGGCGGTTCATACCAGAAGTGTGAGGCATGGCATTTACAGTGTGGGGCAAGGCACGCCCATTAACTGCAGATGTTTGCTGAGCATGTCCAGGGTGGGTATGGGAGCTGGGATTCATCATTTTGTTATGAGACGCCTGACTGCCATAGGTTGGCATGACTGAATTTGGGCCCATCATCACATTCTGGCCCAGGACCCGGCTGTTGGATTGGGCTACCCCAGGGTCAACTGGTGTCATGATATCATTATGAGGAGGAGAGTCAGAAGTAAGTAACTCTTTCAGGAGTCCCGGTGCACAGTTATATTGAGTCATACCTCCATAACCCGATTTGTTGTCCTGCAGTGTTTGTATAGGCATCTGTGGCAAAGGGCTCATGCTGGATTGGCCGTAAGTGTATTTTTGGTAGTTTGGACTGGGTGAGTTCAGACTGGTGTTTGGAGGTGCAAATGAGTAGCATGGTGTCTGCTGCATCATGGTGCCAGGAGAAGACTGGGTTGAAACAGTTAATGATGTTGGTGAGGAGAGGAGGTTGAGATTATCTAACAGGTTTTCCATGTTTTCAGGATTGCTTATCTCAGAGAGGCTGGGCAGAGTGGATGCCATCTTGGCAGCAGAAGGTGGGTACACCATAGAATGCACATCCCCATCTCCAAGATCATCCTGTTGGGTCATAATTGGAGAAAGTCTCCCACTAATAGTGCTAGCATTTGAGCTAGTTCGAGGGCGAAATGTACTCCAGTTATCAAAGTCATCATTGCTGTGAGAACCAGGGCTCGAAGGCCATTTAGAGAACTGAGAGCCAGGGCTGTCCCCAGCACCCTCCTGGCCAGATTGGAGGGATGCTTTTTTCTTAGCTGCTCGGCCTCGGCTCTTTGCAAATTTACTGTTGTTATCCATGGATGCGGCTCTTCTCCGGGGGGATTTTCCACTCTTGCCTCCCTCTGGATTCAGCATCCACCAAGAACTTTTTCCAGTTCCTTCATTCTGCACACGGATGAACTTGCTGTGTAGGGACAGATTATGACGGATTGAATTCTGTAAAGCAAAACATTGTGTTAGAAGCATAATACTTTTCCATGTGGGAATTTACAATTCACTGTAGCTATGTATTACATGAAAGACAAATAAGATGCTGGAGTTGATGGTATAGATTTCAAGCACCCAATGCAAAACACCATAATGTGAGTTTGTTAAGCAATATGCTAGCCTTCACTGATAAGTGGCTGTGAATAAGGCATGTTGGTCAGAAACCAAACCTGGGTCTCTCCCATGAAAGGTGAGAACTCTAAGACTGTCTTCAAACATTATATTATTATAAACCTTCAAGATTTTTTGTATTTTAGGGGGTAATTATAGAGACTACGTCTTAAACCACTTAAATTGTACTTAGTTATTGTCGTTGATGTGAAGTGCTATCAAGTCGGTTCTGAATAGTGACTGAGGAGTGCCTGGTGAGCTTGAACCACCGATCTTGTGGTTCAAACTGACTTTGCAGTCCAGCGCATTAACCCAGAGCATCACACCAGGACTCCAATACTTAGCTACAATACCATGCAATATTACTTCATATAAGTTCCATGGACAATCCTTTCCACCCTGTGCTATAAGTGCTATAAGGATCAGCCTAAGCCCAATCCCCTCTTCTCCATCCACAATGCCAGCTGCCCTCATGACCCTTTCTTGCTGACTCCAGCCACCTGAAGATCACAGATGAAAAAGACAACAGTCCTTCAGATTGCCAAATAGGCAGGTGTTATAGCCCCATATTCGGGGAGTTTACATGTTTTACAAATTTGGAGCTGGTTTCCCACTATGGCATTAAGATATCAGCCAGAAAACAAAGCTCAGGAGTCCACACAGCACCCTTATTTTTTGACCTTCTGGCTCCTGTTTAGGTTCAACAATTTATCAGAATGACTCACAAAATTCAGAGAGAATATACCATACTCACAATTACAGATGCATTATAGCAAAAAAGAATACAAAGAAAGAGGCGTATAAGGTGAGGTCTGGGAGGGTTTCCAATGTGAGATTTCTATCAAATGACGTATTATTGCATTAGGCAAATCTGCAGGACAAGACCTTTTTAAAATGTTGAAGAGTGAAGATGTCAGCTTGAGGACTAAGGTGCACCTGGCCCAAGCCATGGTATTTTCAATAACCTCATACGCATGTGAAAGCTAGACAGTGAACAAGGAAGACTGTAGAAGAATTGATACTTTTGAGTTATGGTGCTGGAGGAGAATATTGAAGGTGCCGTGGGGTGCCAAAAGAACAAACAGATCTGTGTTGGAAGAAGTGCAGCCAGAGTGCTCTTTTGGACGCCAGGATGGCCAAACTTTGTCTCTCATACTTCAGACATATTGTCAGGAGGGACCAGTTGCTGGAGAAGGATATCAAGTTTGATAAGGTGGAGGGTCAAAGTAAAAAGAGGAAGAACCCTAGGGAGGTGGCTTGGCAAAGTGGCAGCATCAATGGGCTCAAGTGTGGCAACAATTGTGAGGTTGGCCCAGGATTGGGCAGTGTTTCATTCTGTTGTGCGTAGGGTTGCTATGAGTTGGTACTGACTCGATGGCACCTAACAACAACAACAACAACAACAACAACAACAAGGGACATAATGGAATCCTAGTGTGGCACTGTAGGGCAAGCACTGGACTACAAGGTCAGTTTGAACCTCAAGGTCAGTGGTTCAAACCCACTAGTCGCTCCTCGGAAACCCTATACAGGGTTGCTATAAATCGAAAACAACTCAACAGCACTTAACAAGGGATGTGCTACCCTCCTGAGTGATATTCTCATCAACTAGAAAGTTCTCTAGTTCAAGGCTTTGTCACTTAGTCTAGCTGGTAGGCTATACCAGGCCTCCTGAGGCAAGTTTATACAACTTCTCAAGTGAGTATTCTCTGGTCTGACTTGCACACATTTTCAGGTGTGGCTTGTAAGTCACAGAACAAGGGAACTCCAATTATTTCAGAAGTAATTTCTTCAGAATCTAGAATGAAGATCAAGATCACCTTACTTAGTCCTTTACCCCACAATGCTTACGGTCCAAACTGACCTTGTACCCCAGTGTTTACCCTACAGTGCCACACCATGACTCCATATGCCATTTATACAAAGTGAGAAGTTTTTTATAACTAGGCACAAGTGATTATGAAAAAGCAGAACTCAAGAATTAAAAGCACAAATATGAATTAAGACCTAGATTCATTTACACATTTCAATCAATCCCATTAAGCAAATTCAGTTAACTATGAGAAAAACAGAATTGCCAAGAAAAGAAACATTTAAATTCAATGACAACTTCCCATCCTCCCACCTGCCTGCCAATAAAAACTAGTGCACACCACAGGATAGATACTAGATCCTCTGCACCCGTCCCTACCCCCCAAAAAAGACAACATAGAAGAGAAAGAACTGATGACGAATACAAGGGAAGTGTGAGACTTCAATCTGCTAAGTATGTGTGTGATTAGTTGAGCCACGTACATACCTAAGACCATAACTAAGAAAAATCAACTGGTTTTGAGCATTTAAGTGGCTCTGCTATTTAACAGCTATATGACTTTGGGAAGCTGCTCAGCCTTTGTACATGTGCCTTAACTTTCCTCATCTGTAAAACAGAGATGGATCCTTCCTGGGTTATTATCTGATTAAGTGAGATAGACGCTGCTGTAAAGTGCTGTTGAGTCATTCCAACTCACAGTGACCCTGGTGGGTTTGAACGGCTGACCTTGTGGTTCGCAGTTCAGTGCTGATCCTATAGCTCCACACCAGGCGTTCTAGTGATTAGATAAGACAGACAGAAAGATAGAAAGAATAAAATGCTTGATGGTGCTTAATAGTATAAGGAATCGTGATCAAAGAGTTAAAAGATTTCAAATTGAGGATACAGATTTTATCACTTAAAGCCCTGCTTCCCTATTCCTCATTAGTGGAGGATGAATAAGACTATAAGGGATATTACAAACACAAGCCCACACTCCAAGCACATGGTGAAGTAGAACAAAGACAGTCTTTCAAACTTCAGGCTATAAATTGAGGAAGTCCCAATTTGATTCACCCACTGAATATGTGGCTAGGCTGTGGCATTTGAGATAGACTTGGAGACACATCTGGAAAAGGAAAGTGGAAAACCCTGAGCTGATTGGAAGGAAGCACCTAGCTTTACTTATATCTTTGTCTCCAAACAGCACAAAACACACAACAGATTCTTGCTATCAGCTCATTCAGCTACCTATGTAGCCCTTCATCAAGTCTCAGTGCCCTCAGCCTGCTCCCCAGTATAGGAGTGAAAGTGTGGGTCCCAATCACCCTGAGGGTGAGGCTGTGTGCAAGGCCCCTGGACTTCCTTGGCCTCCTCTGCTAACAGTGCAAGGGTCAGATGACTGAACACCCCGGGTCCCCCAGCATCTCTCCTTGACCACAAAAAGCCTCTGGCTAGATTTGTGGTCACCCAGGGATGCAGCCACAACACCCACATCCTCATGCCATCAACTAAGATGCCTACAATCTAATCGCTGCACGAGGGTAGAGCCTTTACAAGTAGGACAAGGCCAGTGCTTCAACACAAATATGAGAATCTCACTTTCTAATAGAAGACATATATTCAGACCCAACAACTAGGGTTGAGAAATCTACACGTTCCAGTGTCCTGTGGACTACATTCTTCCCCAGGACTGCAACACCCAGCTATGGGGCAAGTCTCTCTGCCAGAGCACACAGTAAGTGCAGGCCATGGGGCAGCTCCCCTCTTCCTTCCCACCTAGGAATTCATCCCCAGCTGAAGACACATGCCTTGAGAACAACAATCCCAGCAATAGGACTGCATGATAGTAAGTCAGTTCTGACTCGGCAATTCTACGGACAGAGCAAAATTGGGTTTGCTAGGTTGCGATATGCAGATGATACAACCTTGATCGCTGAAAGTGAAGAGGACTTGAAACATTTACTTATGAAGATTAAAGAGCACAGCCTTCGATATGGATTGCATCTCAATGTCAAGAAAACAAAAATCCTCACCACTGGACCAATAAACATTCTTATCAATGGAGAAAGGATTGAAGTTGTCAAGGACTTCATTCTTCTTGGATCAACTATCAACACTCGCGGAAGTAGCAGTCAAGAGATCAGACGACGTATTGCACTGGGCAAATCTGCTGCACAGGAACTTTTTAAAGTATTGAAGAGCAGAGATGTCAGCTTGAGGACTAGGGTGCGCCTGACCCAGGCCATTGTGTTTTCAACAGCCTCATATGGATGCGAAAGCTGGACAGTGAATAAGGATGATCGTAGAAGAATTGATGCCTTTGAGTTGTGGTGTTGGAGGAGAATACTGAGGGTGCCATGGACTGCCAAAAGAACCAATAGATCTGTTTTGGAAGAAGTGCAGCCAGAGTGCTCCTTGGAGGCCAGGATGGCTAAGCTTCGTCTCTCCTACTTTGGACATGTAGTCCGGAGGAAACAATCGTTGGAGAAGGATGTCATGCTGGGTAGGGTGGAGGGTCAGAGAAAAAGAGGAAGACCTCCAACGAGATGGATCGGCCAGGTGGCATCATTGATGGACTCGGGGGTGGCAGCGGTGGTGAGGTTGGCCCAGGATCGAGCATTGTTTCGTTCTGCTGTGCATGGGGTCGCTATGAGTCGGTTCCAACTCGATGGCACCTGACAACAACAACAGGTTGTAATATTTATGGAAGAAAATGGTCAGGCCATTTTCATGCACACAACATGTATTACGTGCCATTGAGTGGGTTGGAACCATCAACCATTCAGTTAGCAATAAAGTGCTTAACAAATGTGCCACCAGGGCAAGGGACTTCATGTCCCTAGTGTGCCACTATCCTATGGGAAGGTTTTGTATATGCTCATACATACTCACAATGAGATGGAGGGACACAAGAGTCATAGTAATGGACTCAAACGTATTGTGGGACAGAGAATTAGTTAATGTCCCTTCCAGTTAGAGTCTGAAAACTCCCACCAAATGACTTTTTCCTGTTGGTTCTGGATAAGAGAAGGTGAGACAGATG